TTTAATATGTACAATGACTTTTTTTAAAGTATTATTTCTTAGCATATATTATTTCAAACCAGAAATTAGAGGTTGAAATCCAGTTATTATTATAATTTAAACGACTCGAGTAGTTAAGCAGCTTGTATTCTTTAATGAATTAGTTGAGTTAATATAAAAATCTTGATATTGAGTGTACAAATAAGTTCCCGCCGTTCTTTATATGATGGCATTACTAGAACGTTATGTAGAAATTGACTGCTGTTAAACGTCTTATTGTAAGTTTGTGCATCAGGTAACAACATAACCTTAAAGTATTTGTGATTCAGTATAATCATTACGTAATTGTTTTCATGCAAACATTTCAAGATTTGTGCCAAATAAGCGTCATTTGAGGGAACTTTTAATTCACTTCTTTAATATGAAGAAATCTGCTGCTGAGGAGCATCGAGTGCTTGGTTAAGCATATGAGGAGACTGATTTAAGTGAGAGAAGTTATCGGGAGTGGTTTCAGAAAATTAAAAATTGTAAGTTTGACGCGGAAGATAAAAAAATCAGGGGGAGGCCGAAATTGTGCGAAGAGAAGGAATTGGAAGAATTATTGGAAGAATATTAATCCCAAATGCATTAGGAACTTGCCCTTACATTACAAGTGACTCAGCAAGCAATTTCAAATTGATTAAAATCGTTGAGAACGTAGGGGGTTGAAAGTCGATTTTGCATGAAAATTGATTTTGCTATTTGGAAACGCTTCAATGAGAAGTCCTACCCCACCGGCCGTATTCACCAGACCTTCCCCCTTCAGATTGACATCCATTCCGGTCGATAGCACATGGTCTTTCTGAGCAGGAATGGGTCGATTCGTTTATATCCTCGGAAGATGAAGAATTCTTCCGACGTGGTATCTGAATGCTCCCAGAAAGATGGGAAAAATAGTGTCAAGTAATGAAGAATACCTTGAATAAAAGATAATATACCATTTTTTTCACAGTAAATTGCTAATTTTCGATAGAAAAAAGTGGAAACTTATTTGTACTTACAATATAATCTGAAAAAAGTCTAAATAAATATATTTCTTAATAATTTAATTAGACATAATCATTTAACCATTTCTAAAAAAAATAATTAAAAACATTTTAACAAATAAATCAATGAATTTATTAAAACATTGTGACGATTTAGTAACCAAACACGTATTTCAAAAACCGTGCAGTATTACCCAAAAAGCTTTTTTAATATATTTAAACTAAGAGTTTCTTATTTGTTTCCTAATCTCTAGAATAGTCAGAATCTTAAAACAGCTGATAAAAATTCCAACTTTTAACTATAGCAAAATGGTATTTTTTTCAGTGGAAAGTTTTGTTGTTAAATCAAACATTTTGTGTGATATTAGGCAATATATTATCACAAGCATTAAGAATAAAATTGGATTTGCTTTTTAATGTATCAGTAAATATACTTTCTAGTTGTAACTTGATTCCTCGAGCTACTTTACTTGCAGCAATACCTTATCTTCAATTGCAAGTTTTTCAATAATATATGAGCATAAAGCTGCTGCTAAAATAAAACATACATGTAATTATTCCTCGAAAAAAAAATGTTCACTGCATTTTTAAAATTGAACCACTGGTTGTAAGTACACGTTTATTTAAGCTATATCGATGCAAAAGAAATTTGCTTCACTCTATAAAAAAATAATCAAAGAAAAATAGGTTAGAAAAATAATCAAACAAACACATAACAAAACTTTTATTTTTCATAACTTCCTTCCAAATACATTTCACAACTTTATCCGAATTTAAAAATTTTGAAGCATGTGAAAATAAGTATAAAGTTTGAAATACAATAAAAATAATCATATATATATTTTTGAGGAAAAGAAATGTTTCACCAGAATTGTAGCATTCCCTGTAATATATACATTTTAAGGGTAAACATTATCTTATTTAGCTGTACATAAAACCTGTTTTCCTTTAAATTATCAGGCTATGGATATATTGAAATATCAACCCAAAACTTTGTTTTCATTTTTCAAAACTCATGGAAATTGACTTTAGTTTCATGCGAATCTTATAATGTTTACTAAAGAAAACTAAAAGCACTCAAAAAATTTCTGCATAAGTTAAAAAAGTTTTTATGTTTTCAACCTGTTACTAGTTTCAGATACCTCATTTTAAGTTCCCCCCCTTAAAAACTCTCAAATGTAAGATGAAATTGCATTACAGTGAAGAAAATTTAAAATTGCAATATGCAGAGCAAGCATTTTGTATTTTTGTTTTTCTTCATGTAGCTTCCAAAATAAACAAGATATTTATTTTTTGAAGAAAAATACGCAGTATTTAGAGGAACTAAAAATAAATATACGATTTTCAAAACGTCGTATGTATATTAAAAATTATAACTTTTCGTAAGTAAAAAATAATTAAACATGAATACTTTAAATGCTATTTTTTCGAGTTTATTTGAAGAAATGTTACATCAGATTGATTTTAAGATTAAGTTAGAAATTTTGCGATGTAATTCATTTTTATGGCTTTTATAATGCAGACACTAAAAAGAAAGTTCGTTGAAGGCGCAATTTTTTCATTTATTTAATTAATAATGCACATTTTTAGTGCTTTATAAGAATTTTAAGAGATACAGATTAAAAATACTTTTATCTCATAACATAATTTTTTTTTGGATCAAGATATTTTTTTTACATTTTGTGTTGTTTCTCAATTTTAGGAATTTTTCAACTATTTCAAAATATTAATAAGATTAATAATAACCAGTAAGTATAAAAAAAATTTAAAAAAATGAGACAGTTCTTTTCAGAAATGTTTTGATAAACTTATATGACGTTTAATATCAATTAATAAAATATTATTTGAAGATCTCTAATGACATTTAAATACTCTTTCAAATATGTCCAAACATCAAATAACGAATTTTGTATTGAATGTGAGATGCATAATTAAATCACCCTTCGGCACATAATAAGTCTATGTTATCAATTGCGGACTCTTTTATAATTGTACAGTAGCGGTCAAAAAACTTTGGACAAACTCAATATTATTGATTCACTTCACTATTGATTGTTTACTCAATCTCAAACTTGTTTAGTAATTTCGGTGAGGCGATGGTATTGTAATAAATTGAAATTTATTATAAGTTTTTTTTTGTAATACTTTTAANAATATTATTGATTCACTTCACTATTGATTGTTTACTCAATCTCAAACTTGTTTAGTATGCTTATCAACAGGAAAGCAAACTCAGAGCTTTAAAATTCACTTTAAATCGGACGTGATATTCATATAAGCCTGGTATTTAAATAAATACTGTTTTCCGCTCATTCGTGATTATACTTTAAAACCAGTATTGAATGAATTTATTTGTTTATAATAATAATATTTAGTCAAAATACAATTTCAAATAAAAAGTATAGTTTTTACACATTTAAATACTGAATCTTAATCTTGTATAAATACCATAAGTTTTATAGTGACATTTGCTTAACTACACTGTTAAAATTTTTATTCTAAAATTATGGTAGAATAACTGGCAGCTGTCTATCCATCCGATTAACCGTAAAGTTTACAGTAAATAAATTTTTTTCCTTTATGGTTTTAAAACCATTTACAAAAAGTATGGTTATAAAACAATGAATATAAAACCATTTACAACTAGCATTTTTAAAAAACACAAAAAAATAATAATTATCTAACTGTGCATAGGAACTTGGTTTTTCGTAAGGTAATGGTAAGTAGAGAGTGGCGGACACTGGAAATTCTCCATGTGGTGAAGGAAATTGACGAAATGTTGTGGTGTCACCACTAGGACTCGAACTCCAGTTCTGCTAGTCATGAGACTGACAGATAAGCCCGCTCGGCTATGATATGTATGCCGTTGCATAGAACTAAGTAGCTTCATCAGTGGTTCTAATTGGTAAGATAAAATTCTGGTTATCTAACCGTATTAGGTAAACGCAGTCAATAAACAGTTTTTTTCTAACTTAACAGTTTGATTACCATTTTATTTATGGTAATTTGACTGCTTTGATTAAATATGGTAAAATAACCATTCAATAAATTGTTATTTGACTATTTTTTCCGAGAAATTTCTAACAGTATGTTTTCCGCTCATTAGCGATTATACTTCAAAACCAGTATTGAATGAGTTTCTTTGTTTATAATAATAATATTTAGTCAAAATACAATTTTAAATAAAAAGTATAGTTTTTACACATTAAAATACTGAATCTCAATCTTAATTTTATATAAATACCATTAGTTTTATAGTGACATTTGCTTAAGTAGAACTTGTTCTTACATGGCCAGAAATATGGAAAAAAAGAAATGAATAATCGACTGAGCTGCTTGCAAAGATTCAAATTTTATTCAAAAGAGGTTACATTTACGATTAAATAGCAAAAAGATTAAAAATTCGGAAATCAAGTGTAACATTCATGTTAGCCTGATAAGAAAACACTGGGAACAAACTCTACAAAACTGCCCAGAAAGGGTAAATGGCCTTCTACAGGTTCAATGATAAAAGTTTCGGATAAAATTGCGGTAAAAAGTATTTACACACAGGGTACTGGTACTTTTTACAGTAAAAATCCATTTTTTTCGGAATATGTTAGGGAACAGAAAATTTGATATTTACCGTAGAATCACTGAATCACTGTAATTAGATAAATATAACTGCAAAAATTAGGATTTAATACTTTACGGTAGAAATGGATTATACGGATATGCATCCAAAGTGCCAATACTTAATACCGTATTTTTATCCGGAACGGATTTTTTTTTTAGTTTTTTACAGTGTTGAGAAAAACTTTTGCACGTTGCAAGCAGAAAATAATTCTTTAATGGATATGCATAAATGAAATATTCAAATTTGCATTGATTTTAAACATTCAATGTTACAAAATTATTTAAATTGCTTGAAATATAGAATGTAAAATATATGAAATCCAATTTAATCAAATATTATATCTGGATTATTAAATCAAGTGTTTAAATTTTTTTTTAAAGAAATTATTGAAAATGTGACCTACGGCATGAAACCACCCTACCGGCCAGTATTAGAATTGGAAAATTGTGATGATGGAATGATACAAGTAATCAAGAGATGTTGGTCTGAAGAACCAGTAGATCGTCCTGATTTTCAAACACTAAAATCAATCATAAGGAAATTAAATAAGTAAGTAGTTTATAATTATTTTAAAATATTTACACTTTATTAAAAACCAGAATCTCTACATGTATCTCTATATGAATCTCTACCAGAATCTCTAAATGTATTTAAACTAGATTGTTGTTAGTGTAATAAATATAGTTAAAAAGATTTTTTATCTCTAATATTTATTTATAAATTTTAAGTTTTTGTTTTTAAACGAAAATAATTTTGATTTATTTAGACGAAAAGAAAAAATACTTACATGCGAAGAAAAATTTTAATCGAAATTATTGTAAGAACATTCCTGATAATAACATTCCTGTATAGTAATAAGATTCCTGGTACAAAAATAGAAAAAAACAACTCAACTCTAGTTAATAAAATTAAAATATACGATAGTTAAGTCATTCATTTATTAATTTTTCCAAATCTTTTTACCGAGAATACTGTTTTTTTTTTAAAAAAAATTAACTGAATAAATGGTTTTTATGACAAGCTCTAAGATATGATATAATTACCAAATTATATCACTTTTATCAAATTTTATCTATTATTATAAAACAATATTTTAATCTAATTTCTACCAAAATTATTACCAAGGATCTTCGGCAAACACTATTCAGCTTTTTGGTGTTCCTATAGAAGTAGAAGCACGGAAAATTTTACCATACTCTGGTAGTTTTTACCATACAGTTTTTTTCTCAGTGAACATTTTACTGTTTCTGATAGTATGCATAAAAACAAGTTGGTATTATCCAATACTACCCATATAATACTTTTATAATTCATAATTTAAGATTCATCCGATACAAATACACATGAGTTGAAATTAGTTTCCCGTAACTTTGTATTTGAACAAGGAAAAGTTACAAGTAATTTAGTTTACATGAAAAATGTATCAACCGGTTTACACTATCTCACTTGCAGATGCAAACGCAGTTGCTAAAAACAAACTCTTACCTCACACCTTTAAGAAGCCTTTTTGTCACCGACTACAACTGCCTCAGAAATTTGATATCGGTTATATCAAGTATTAGAATCCATCATTTCAGAGGGACGAAGATTCCCTCGGACAAGACCAGGGCATACGTTCTCTGTAGTAACTGTCTGATGTCACGTTAATATAGAGACACATTTTCGCCACTTGAAGACAACCTAAGATCTGTTCTCTATAGTCAAGAGACGCAGAAGCTGGTGGTCGCAATCGTACAGACATTTCATGTTCTTTGCAAATCCATGGATACGAAAACAACAACAGTAAGAAAAATGTAGCCACATGACTCAGAGTTACCTTATTATTTCGTAAACTGCAGGTTCAAAAATTTCGATGCAAGACATTTTATATTTATAGACATTTTAAAAGGAAAAATACAACAATCATTAATACAACGTTCGGATCTAAATATTGTACCATTGTTAATGGTAAGAGAAACGAAGACATATTTATTCATGAACTTGTGGAACACGCAATGCGACAAAGTATGTATGCCTTAATTTCGTTTCAAATGAGATGTCAGCAAATTCGCGAGTTACATTCAAAAATGTGACGCCACAAATCAGTAAAACTTTACTATATAGTAACTTTACTATTACGGTTTCTTCCTTCTTAGCATGGTAAATAATTTCACTTCTTCTTTTATTATCTTAATTGTTTTATAAACAACATAGTTGTTCAATCATATCTTGCGTTATTTTGCATTAGGCGTATTTTTGAACTAAACCAATTTTATAATGGATCATTTTTCTGTTATAAAATTAGTCGGTGTATATAGTCGGTATATAGTCTGTGTCATTAAATCAGCCGTAGTAATTTTACAATACCAAATTCAAATTTACAAGGTTATTTATTCGTTAACTATTAAAAAGTAATCATACAACAACACAGTTTTGAAAATAATACTGAAAAGCCTTCATGCTGCACACGTTTGATATTATTGTTAGTTATCAAGGCTTAATACTAGTCGAAGTTGCTCTATAGAGCAACCTCTTAATTATAATATTCTCTCAACAGCTCTTTCGCTATTTATGTGCTATAACGTGATTAAGAGAAGGGTGGCTATATTTTTAGCAACTAAGAGGTTGATAGTTTTACAGTCACTGAAGTGCGGATGGCAATTTTGCAATAGAGAATGTTAATATATTATGGTAAAGACATTTCTGCAAAAAAAAAACGTTACTCAGGTTAATAAAACCGAAACATACGGAATTTAAACTAATTATTTGGCATTTTTTTCTGTTTGTTATGGTGACGGCTTACTGGAAGTTCTGATTTTTCAAATTATAGTTCTTATTATGTATTTAGTAAAAATGCAAAACCTAAAAAGTAAACTTTACTGAATAAATTGTTTTATGTCATGATGTATTATGGTAAAGACATTTCTGCAAAAAAAAAAACATTACTTAAATTACTAAATTAAAATTAAACATGATTATGATACAATAAGCAAAATTACCTCATTTACAATATTTTATCACACATTATAAAACCATAATTTAATGTTAGTTTTTCCGAAATTATTCCCAAAGAGCTTCGGTAAAAATCGCGTGGCTTTTTCTTGTTCCCATAGCAACGGAAACATGTTAGATTTTATCATGTTCTGGTAGTTTTTACAATACATTTTTTTACATACATTTACATACATTAAAATCAATTAGTTTTATTCTAAAAATAAATATTTAAATTGCATGTTATTTTAATACTAGCACAATAAAAATTTGTTAAATGTTTCACAGTTCAATAGCTTTAAAATATCTATTTTACTGCACGAAGAAAGAATATTATATTTTTTCCTATGAGAATATAATAGAATAGGGGTACATGCAATCTTACTTTTTATAGTTAAGAATAAGTTTTCGTGATCTAAATTACGGAAATAGAATTGGAAAGATTCTAACAAAAGATTCCTAATTAAAAAACAATTTTAAAAAATGAAAGAAGCTCGTGAAAAGAATCCATTAATAATTTCGTGTTCTCTATAATAAATGAAATTTTGAGATTCTCGAGATTATCATAATTCAAGTTTGATTGAAATGATTAAGAAAAGATTTGCTTCTCAGAAATTTTTTTATTACAAAAAACAAAGAAATTTTCGATTAATGTGGTATTGTTTATCATTTTATTTACATAAACATTTTGGAGTATATTTTTCTTTACATTGTAATACCGTTAAATTGAAATTATACTTTTTAAATGTGCAATGTACATTTAAGGCATAAACACCTACATATTTTTCAAAAATAAATTACTTCGAAATTTACACAAATCTTTACGATGTGTGATTAGGGTGTGAAGATTAGGGTGTAAAAGATTTCACTATTTCATAAAAAAAAAATTAAAATTTTTCAAGCCTGTATGTTTATATCAAATTTAAAAATATGCATTTTTAAGACATATTAACTTTCATTGTATGCATGAATAAAACAAGTATTTCAAAGACTTTTTTAACGTTTGAATGCTTTAAAACCTGTTTATAACTGCTACAATCTTAGTAACGCAGTGAAACGATTTTCATTATATTTTGTTCATATCTCTACGTATTTATTCCTATGTCTCTTTTCATATTTCTACGTATAAAAAATGATAATTCAGATAAAAATCTTCCCGAAGAATAATTTTTCATTTATTTGTTAACTTTATATTTGGTAATATGTTATATGAAGAATGAAGAATTTATTATTGTAAATTTTCTTACCAGATAGTGTTACAACTTTCTTAAAGCAAATAGATTCGGAAGACTTTAATTTTAACAATAAAATTTTCATATCGTGAAGAAAAATGAGTTATTATAGGTATTTACACCGAAGAACCATTACATTATGACCACCCTCCATCTATAACAATGGGCTCGCCCAGGTTTTCATAGTTTCTCGCTCAGGAACAATGTTTTCATGGTACACATTGGGACCCATAATCCTCATAGAACAATCCCTGACGTCTGTAAGCTACTTGAACATAGTTGCAGACCAGGTTCACCCATTCAGGGCAACATTTTTTCCTTCGGGGGAGGGTGATTACCAACAGGATAATGCACCGTGTGATAAGGGTCGAATCGTCGAGGAGCATTCCACTGACTTTCAAGTCATGTTTTGGCCCCCAAATTCACCTGATCTTAATCCAATAGAGCATTTGTGGTCCTACTCGGAAAAAAAAATTCATGCTGCCCCTCGCATTGTGAGGGAATTGCAGGACCAGTTGGTGAGCGTTTGGTACCAGATACCTCAGGCTACCTTGTGGAATCAGTGCCACTGCGGGTGCTAGCAGTTTTGAGGGCTAAAGGTGGTCCTATATGTTATTAGCAGGGTGGTCATAAATTAATGGCTCTTGGGTGTACACTATTACAGGCAGTAAGATGATTTCTTATTCTATAAACATTCCGTTAGTAAAAAAAGACTTATGCGAGCAGGCAGTTGGGTTGTGTCATACCCGATTTCTACAGAATATATCGATAAATCCTTTTTTAAAGCTTTTTTTAGTGAAAACTTGCTGAAAAGATCAAGATCAAATAGATCAAGTCTGATAAAAAAAAATGCATTAGAGAGATTTGGCTTCTTTAATTCAGAATATTCAAACTTTTTTTGTTTGGCAGGGCTGTAATTCAATTTACATGCATTCTCATGGGTTAAGGTAGTTATAATAATGAAGCATTTTTGCAAATTTGTGAAGAAAATTAAATAAAAAAAAATTCTGATTATAATAAAATGATTTAAAATATTTTTTTGCTAATAAGAAATTTCCATATCAGACAATTTTGCAGTTTTATTGTAGCTGCTATTATTTTTATAACAAAAGTATTATACCCTAACGAAGCATTATTCAATTAAGATTTTTTTTTCAGGTCAGGGAAAACGAGAGCGGAAACATTAGAGCATTAGAGAAATTTGGCTTCTTTAATTAGGAATATTCAAACTTTTTGTTGGGCATCGTTGTAATTCAATTTACACGCGTTCTCACTTTTTAAAGCAGTTATAATAATGAAGCATTTTTTGCAATTTTGCAAAGAATATTAAATTAAAATAATTCTTATTATAATAAAATGATTTAAAGCACTTTTTTAATAATAAGAAATTTCCATATCAGACAATTTTGCAGTTTTATTGTAACTGCTATTATTTTTATAACAAAAGTATTATATCCCAGCGAAATATTATTCAATAAAGAACTTTTTTTTGTGGTCAGAGAGAACGAGAGCGGAAACATTTTGGACAATCTATTGTCTCGCATGGAACAGTATGCCAACAACTTAGAGAGCCTTGTAGAAGAAAGAACGGCTGATTACCTGGAAGAAAAGAGAAAGGCTGAAAATCTTCTTTACCAGCTGTTGCCACGGTAAAAAAAAATTCTTTTTCAATCATTTTTGATCTAGTGCAAGCTTTGATTAAAGAACCATGTTTAAGATTATTTATTTTGCTTTCTTCATATTTTCTTCATTTTGATTCAAATGATAAAGACTTTTACAAAATAATTTAATCTTAGTGAATGGAATGAAAATCTTATTTGTTCCAGAGTTATTGAATGTTTTATTATTAACCTGAATAAACTTGAAATATATATCAGTATAGTTCAAAGTGTTAAAAATTAGGCTATTGTAATTCAAATTTTGTGTAAGGCGTCGTAAAGATCTTAAAGATATTAAATTTTAACAAGGGACACATAGTTATTAATTTCAGAGCGGGAGTAAATAATATATTCCCCGAATTTCCTAATCTTGTGCTATGTAGAACCTTTTAAACTTGGTTACAGAATATTATAATTTAGCTTAGACGAAAACATGATTTAATTTAACTAATTTTGAAGTGAAAAATTATGAGCATATATTAAATAATAAAAAAATGTGTATTTGTGACTCGTGTACCGCAAATTATAAGCTTGCATTGTTTCCATTTTGCTTAAACTGATTCTATTCACTGAGTTACATACTTATTGATAAGTTCAATTACTGGATACGCTAATTCAAAATCTGTTCCTTCATTGATTCGAAAATTCCTCAGCATGTTGGCTAGCCTATTTACTAATTCGCGTATATAATTCGCGTTCATCAATTTACTGATTCACTGATTCATTAGTTCGGCTCACGCATTTTTCTTCACTTACTTTCCGCCTTCGTGTGACTATGTTTAATTTATTTAAGTGAAAAATATTGAACATTCCCTGTTAAAAAATATAGATAATCTTATTTCCGTTGCAGTTTTGGAAACTAAAATATTTTAGTTCAAGAAATATAAATCTGAAATCAGAAACATACTTTTGAAATCTATGATGAATTTTCCAGTCACCAAGTGTGAAATCAATCTAATAAAAAGAAACATGGATGAAATAAACACATTAAAATTATCTATTGATTTTTTTTGAAAAAGAAAAAACGCACTTACATTCAAAATTTAAAATATGCAATATAATTCAATATTTAAGCGCAAAATAAATGGATGGCGGGGAGGAAACCACGTGCAAAATAATTAGCGGCATAAATAGGAAGCACATGAAAACACTTGAATAATAGCCAAATATTTCTTTTCTTAAGACCACAGAAATGCATATACATAGTTTTCAATAAAATACTAATGGAGCCGTGATGGCTCAGGGGATACAGCGTTCGCCTTCCAATTAGGTGAACCGGGTTCGAATCCTGTCGAATTCCTCATCCAGCTCGCCATGACCATAGTGTTGACGCAAAATATCCTCAGTGGTAGATGGATCATGGGTTAGAGTCCCTTTACCGCCAGGTTAACCGTGGAAGGTTTCCGTGGTTTTACTCTCCATGTAATGCAAAGGAGAATTAATTCCATCAAACTGTCCTCCACGAAGCAAATTTCACCCGATACTTAATTTAGTCTTCGTTATTTTCCTATCCATGTAACGCAAATGCTGGATAGTTCTATCCAAAATCCTCCAAGAAAACAAAATTCCCCCACAATACTTGATCAAGGAGTTCCCTTGTCTTCTGGATTGGCATTAAAACTACAAGGTTACGGAGTTGAATATAAGTTGTCTTAAACTCAGAATTGCGTCGGCTGTTCAACGATGGTTCTGAAATAAAAGAAAATCTAATACTAGAACAAATAAGAAAGCAACGTTTAAAAAAAATAAACGTAGCACTTTGCAATTAATAGGTTTAGTGCCCCATTACGGTAATAAGTTTAAATTCTAGTTAGAGGATGAGTTTATTGTCTTACTTTATTATTTTTTACTAAGCTTAAGATATTTTTTGTAAACATTTAGTTATTTATTTTGTTTAAATTCTGTAAAATGTTTGGATATTTGTTCTTCAGGAATGTCCCAGTGTTAGTGAAGACAATATAGAACATTTTGTTTCAGCGCCTAATATAAATTGCGATTTGATTTTCTCTAGTTTCCGTGTTTCGTAATTTATTTCATTACATCGTGCATAATATATGAATATATGAATAAATATGTATTAGTGGTAATGTTTATAATTTCTACGTAAAAACTTTTCAATAAATTGTCAATCTTTTCTTTGTTTATAGTATGATTTATCAACTAGAAATAGATTATCAAGAGCAAATAAAAATATGGCAGAATTACTTAATAATGTAATTAAAATTAAATAAAAGGAATTGAAATTGTTTTTAAAAATTTTTACGTAAGAATTACATTTTTCCAAAAAACTAGCTTAATAAGAAGGAACACTATTCTTTTGTCCGAATACCATAGCTATATCATACTGTTTCATTTTTTACAACTTCAGTTCAACATACTTGTAAATACTTCAACATATATTTTATTCAGTGTCAAAACTCGCAGAGAATATTGCGTGTTCTGTAACGGTTATGAATTAGCACCAAATTAACAATTTTTTGTGTCAGCAATTAAATTTTCTCCTTGAGTTTTTCGAGCAGTTTATCCTGAATTCTACGTTTTTTTTCTTTCAAACTCAGTATATAGTAAACTCAAATAACCGTATAGTAACCGCATAGGTCAGACTCTTTTTATGCTTCATAATTTTCTATGTTTTAAAATAATGCGTGTGTATCGCCTCTCTTGTGTCTAAGTTCTATTTTCCTTCTTTTTTTAACTGTTGTGTTTAAACAATGTAAAGACGAGCAAACACAATACTGTGAGAACAAAATAATCAAGCCACGTTTAGAGCATTAGACCTATGTTATTGATTACAAAACAAAATTTATGTATAGAAATGGAAATTACAAATAGAAGGAAAAATGATATATTTATTAATTAATGTACATTTTGTGGTTAATTTCTTTTTACACTTTAGTTTTATGGTTTGCTACATCATCAGCTTACCATGCCAAGTACCAAGTTCATGTTAGGGGTCTATCTTTTAACGGCGATGGTAAGAATGGTAAGTAATTTTGACGATGTGAACAGCGCCTGAGCGGGTACCCCTCTCTCCAAACTAACCAGTGATCGGACTATTAAGGGTGTCTTGGAGACAGATTCTACTTTCGTCGTTCTCCATGTTAGTCTATGGAGAATTATATGATTCTTAGCCTACTCATTATATAGTCACTAATTAACATTTTGGAATTNTAATTTAATTATCTAAATTTTTATTATTAACCACGACGCCTGAACCGATTGCGCCACCGGAGTGGTTGTGGTTCATTGCAGAACTTTGATCAATCGCCTAACAACAATATCACTGAGATGTGTGGAAACAATGTTCAGCTTTAAGGAAAACAAAAAGCCTTAACTTACTCGGATTTTGATATGATTCATTAACAAGACTTGGCAACATAAAACTAAGTTGTCTCTTAAAGTTATATCAACTAAAATTATAAATCATTAAATTTTCACGAACAGGTTTTTGCTACTAATTCAAATATAAATTTCCGTTAAAACTCAGGAGGCTAAATAAAATTGCACAAGTAGCTTCTTTATTTGAGTACCTATTAATTACGAATGCTAAACATTCCTAATCAAAATTACTTCTGGTGTTACGACAGTAGCTTCCTTTCCACCTTAAATTGCTAAAATGCCTGCATTTTCAAAATTCCTTAGAGATGAATCAAGATCAAAGTTACCTAAGTTACGCAATTCATGCCGCAATTGAAACTGATATTTGTCACATTGATTAGTTTTCAAATTTCCAGTAGTATCTTCATCATAAACAGTTAGTTATTTAGCAATTCAACATTTTGTGTACATTAACTTGAAATTATTACTCACCTTTATGCATAAATATGTTGTTTGAAGTTTTTAATAAGATGCACTATCAAGGATGAGATTGATTTCTTGGAAAAGAAGACTATGCTTCGAATTGGTCATATTTATTTCTTTAAATTTACATGCGATTTTCTTTCTTTTGATCATTATGTATCAATCTAAAAGGCATAATTTTCGTATTAGGAATTAAGTTTGCTTTTTAATTTTATTACCTGGTACCAAAATAATATTTCAAACTTTATGTAAATTTGATGTTAATTTATAAATATGCCTTAATTTCAGCAGCATTTGCAGATTTTTATATAGCTGTGAAATCGCTGCATCGAGGTATTGGATTTAATAGCTAAAACTAATTTTCCAATGATTAACAAACGAGTAATTCCTTTATTATTTTTTAGTAACTAAAACAATTTTCAGTTCTTTTTACTTTTAAAAATAAAAGGGGCCCAAAGGCACTATTACATGTTTCGTATGTATATTATGCTTCATATGTATATTATGTTTCATGTGTGCATTATGTAACTATATTCTGGCATATCACATCTTTTTCAATTAAACAATCAATTGCAAACAATTAAACTGTGACAATATGTGAACAATTAAACTGTGAACTTCTATTATAAATAATTTAAAAAAATAAAAATAATTTAATTACTATTAGTTTACTCACGAAAACTAAATTAAACTAAACTCAGCGGCTCAACAGCCCATAGAGGGCCAAGGCCTACTGTGGCCATCTCAGTTTTCTTGACCTTTGAGCTCTGGGGTGCAGGAGCAGATGTTCCGGTTAGGTGGTCAGCCGAACGCGAAACCCCCAGTGTTTAGTTCCCAAGCATGATTGGTACTCATTTATAGACCCACTGAAGGGATGAAAGGCTGAGTCAACCTTCCCCGGCCCGAGGATCGAACCAGGGACCTGTGGCACGACAGCGCAAAGTGCTACCGCTCAGCCACCGGGCGTCCTCACGAAACATAAACACGCATAATAATGCAACTAAAAATATTAAAACAGTTTCTATTTTTTTGTGTGATTATTTTGGAGCTGGTTCTGGTTTAAGAATTGATTATTGACTTCGATCAGAATAGTACAGTTAAAATTTATAAATTATTTAAAAATATCAAGCAGTTTTACAAATAAATACAACTAATTTAATTTTACAATTGAATGAAACTAATACAATTAAAAAACCTGAAGTAGTTTTAGTTTTGCTGTCTTAATTTTTGCCTTTCTGCTAACTGGCATTATTAGGTTACGAAAAACCTAAAAAGAAAATATTTATTTGATTGTTGATTTCGATCAACGTAACTCAGTTGCAATTTACCCTTATCAAGCAATTTTACAATTAAATACGACTAATTTAATTTCACAATATTGCATTAGTTTTACTTAATTTGTTTATATATTTGCTTTATTTAATTTTGCAGTTAAATAATTCTAACACTTAAACTAAATACTTCAATTAAAACTTAAAATAGTTTAAGATTTTTTGTCTTATTTTTAGCCTTCCTGGTAACTTACTATTCGGTTATGAAAGATATGAAAAGAAAACATGTAAATGATTATTAATTTCGATCAACATAAAATCACAGAAATTTACCATTATCAAGTATGTTTTTGCGGAATCGGCACTATGTGTTCAGTTAAGTTTCATTTTACAATAAACGTTATTACAGTATTTTAATTTATAGAAACATGACGCAAAATCATCATTATAAACGAAATGAACAAGTGGTTTTAGCACTAGTTCTGTGCCATCGTCTTAACGTATCATCTACGTTGATTTTACTTATGCTTATAGAATATAGTGAATAAAATTATATTTATTGAAGAACATGCGAAACACTCTCAATTGAAAAAAAAACAGCTCATTAAAACAGCTAACATTTAACACCACTGCTCTTATCATTTAAATTACAAAAAAAAAAAATGAGAAAAAGAATAATCCTCTTGCAGTTTTTGTTCCAATGACGTGTGCATATAATCTAATAAAAAATAAATAAATAAATAAAATAAAATAAATAAATAAATTTTCCTCTTGAACAGACTAGCTAACGTATTTTTAGTTTTTAGAGTAGGGTGATAAAATTAACCCTTACACAAGCTGTCCAAATTTTTTGATCTTTACATAAACTGTTTGCAGTTATAAGAGAAAGATGCAAAAATTTTCTTTCATAGATAATACTTGGTTTGAAAAAAAACTAGAGTTAATTTGGTTGAATATAAATTATTTACTAATTTATTTTGATTTGCATCTGTGCACTACAATTTAATTAAATCGAAAAGGAAACACAGATATTTTTAAAAATCAATAGCTTTGTGATTAAATAATAGCGACATTTTTTAAACTCAAATCATCTTAATTTAATTATCTAAATTTTTATACAAATTATATAACTTTTAAACTATTTAAATCAATTTTATAAATTCTTTTCTTAAAAGAAGTTTGTATTTGTAACGTTTACTTATTATGTTTATAAGAACCTGTACATGCATTACAAGATATTTGAAATTATTTTATTAATTAAGCTGATGTTATTAACACATGTTGCAAAATTTTTATTTATTAAAATTTTAAAAAAATAGTTTACAACTTATATTTTTGATTACAAGATATTTGAAAGATAACCGATAAAGATATTGCAGGATTACGAATTTTACATGTAAACAATTGGATAATTTCCTGGTCTTCAATAACAAATTTTGAAGCCCCAGGGGAAAGAAGAATTAATTTAAACAAGGATAGCGTCAGAAAATCAACGATAAATAAATAAAATAAAAAAAGAGGAAAAAAAAAACAGAAATGTAGAAATTTATTAGCAATGACTAAAAGTTATTTTATTTCGTCTTCTTTTATTTTCTCTTTAGAATTAATACAGAATAAGCAAAATTAACTGTGATGTGCATCTTTAGATAATAATAAACAAGTAAAGAACAACATTTAAGATCAGATCAAATGTTGTAATCGCATCTTTCAATATTTATCAGTACATCTATCCTAAGACTTCTCTCTCCAACAACAAATCTTACTTCTATTTATAGACGAAGTTACAGAAGACATCGAATGAAATTACTGGAATTACTATCTAAGGGACAAGTTGGATTGTTTACATCTGGAAAATTCTGGAAGGATAGAAGGCTTACTACCGGAAGGTCTCAATATGAGAAGATTAACTAATAGGTTGCGAAGAAAGATAAATTTAAAGGAATAAAGAGAAATTAACTTACAGGAAAGTAGAAGTGCTAAAATGAGTAGTATAGGTACACTGTAAAGATTTTTCATGTACCGGAATACCAAAAATAGTGGCAACTACTCTACAAAGTGATGTTCCTCTACACCAAAACACAAAGATAGTTTCTGGTGCAATGGAATATTTAGAATTTTCTTTCATATTACTTAATACAAATTAGTCGGTGCTGTCATGTATGTTATTTATTAACGATAAAACTTACAATTATAATATGATACACAGAAGAATTAATAAACTTATTTTTACGAGACAGTATGAAGTAGGAATCGGTAATTCAGTTTTCACTCGCATACACTAATTCTTAAAATAAAATGAGTTTGTCAAAAGCAGAGAAAATATTTTATTTTATTTTATAATCGTCGTTGAACAGCCGAAATTTTTTTTTTAGGTTTACGACTACCGATGTTCATCTCCGTAATGTTCCTCTCCGTAATTTCAAACCCAATCCAGAATACAAGGGAACTCCATGAAGTATCGCGAGAAATTCGCCTTCGTTAAGACTTTTTGATGGAACTAATCAGCATTTGCGTAACATTGAGAGGAAAACCATCAAAAACCTCACATGGTTAGTCTGACGGAGAGGAGATTTTAACCCGTGATCCCTCTACCACTGAGGATATTTTACGTCAGCACTGTGGTTAGTGCCAGCAGGGTTCGGAATTTGAATCGACCAGTAATCCCTGTGATTCGAACCCAGTTCACCTCATTGGGAGGCATGTGTCTGAACCACTACGACTCTAGAGATAATATTAAGATGAATTCGAACTAGTCCTAATAGCCGCAAACACTCACAAGCTCGTTATTGATTGTAAACAATTACAGAGAGTTCAAAACACGCCAACATTTTTAGAAGCCAAAATATTTAACGTATGGAGCAAAGGCAATTAAACATGGCGTAAACATCTTCCTTTTTCGGTGATTAGATTTTCCATGCACCTTTTAAACTATAATGAGAGCTCGATTTGGTGTTAAATTGAAAAGGAAAAAAAAGCATTCCTTCACACAACTCTTTGAAGCAAATTTTCAAATTCGGAGAGATATTACACCACAGTTTTCACATTGCAATATAAAAGACGTAGAAACAACGCCACATTGACAGAAGATCATAATACGTGGAGTTTAAATTAAGTAATATCTAGTGACGGATATATAAATAATATTAGTTTTTAATTTAATCAATTACTAATTTTTTGATCAATAACTCCAAATGTATTTCACTCTTCCTTCTAGATCAGTGGCCAGTCAGCTTATACATGGGCAATCTGTGACAGCCGAAGCTTTTGATTGTGTTACAATTTATTTCAGTGACATTGTTGGATTTACATCATTGTCAGCTCAAAGCAATCCAATGCAGGTAAATATTAATGTACAATAAATTAGACGTACACTAAGTGAAAAAATTTCGTTTTATTAATTAAATAGAATATTTATTAAACAGTTATCTATCTAAATTTTCACAAAATTATGCCGAAAATTGCTTTTTTCTACATTTAAAACAAATAAGCGAAAAAAATACTCTTTTCATAATATAATAGTAGACATACTTTGCTTCTCTCTGTGGGTAGTTTCCCAAAGCAGAGATTTTGGAGCGTTCCAAACTGTTTTGACAATACCGTTCGAAAACACACTGAGAGGTTTAATCGATATTCATTTTAAGAGTGGAGATAGCTTTTTGTTATAAATAAATTTTATTATAAATTTTGTGTTCAATTGAAATGCTTTGAAAGCAAACTTTAATACAAAATATTTTCCAACGCTGCATCGACAATATTTTCTTTCATTTTTAAATCATAATAAAAAAAATGATATGATATATCCATTTAGAAATTGAATTTGTTTGGTGCCTTCAATATAAAACAATCAAACCACATCCAGTTGGAATATTTCCAAGGTTTGTAAAAACCAAAAATCGTAATAGTTTTTTTAAGTGTTGCTTAATTTTCTGAAAAAAATATTCAAAATTTGAATGTAAGAATTTTTATTACATAAAAAATAATGGCATCAAGTGAAAAATATAAATTGAATCAATCGAATATCCACAGTTAAATTAACAGCATTGAACGTAGAACAAAACTTTTAAATTTTTCATAAGTTGAAAAGATTTGGAGTGTGCTCAAAAAGCAACTTGTTGCATAACAGAGCTTATGTTTGTCTGTGTCTGGTGTAATACAATTTTATTTCATAGCCATGCAATTTCGTTTCATAACCACGTTCAATTTTACGCGAGCAATTTTGTTTCATAGCCACGTCGTGACGTTTCTTATAAAAGCCTTCGCTTGAATTTTTTTAGGTCAATAGTTAATCTGTTCATGAACATTTGACATTCTGTAAATTATGAAAATATGTAGATTGAATATTAACATAAATTATGTCATTATATTATGATAACAAGAAAGTAGTAACCTGAATATACGTCTAGGCTCAACGACAAAAATACTTACAAACTTACGTACAAACGGATAATAGCATTGATAATAGTAATTCCAGCAAAAAAGACCCTAATTTTGGTAATAAAAACCAAAATATGCCGTTCATAAACAATTCAGTTGATACTTTTAGTTCATATGGTAAAGGTTTATCAGAAAATCTCTCATTTTTTAATTTTAGTTATTACCATAAATTTAGTAAAACAATGCTATATTGGAAAGTAAAGTTTAACGAATAAATGGTTTTTCGCTATTCATCATTATAAAATTACCACAATTATAAAATTTTTATAGTTTAAAATAAAATAATCCTCTTTAAAACATTACAAATAGTTTGGTCTTGACGTCGGATGTATAAATTAAGAACTAAACAAGATTCTTGTTATAAGAAATAAGTTTGTTTGAATCCTTTTTTATAACTTGTTCTGCTCCCGGAAATATCACGGACGCGAGAAATATCACAATCAAAATTTCCCCTCGTCATTTGTCAGGAGTGATTAGAAAGTGCAAGACTTACTTAGAAAGTTGCGTGAAACTTTTCAAATTATCAAGATATTCAAACCGGACGTTTTTCATAAGTTATCAAGTAAGATTCACAAAAAAAACATATGAAGTTTTTTTTAAAAATTTTCAGTGCATGAGCAGTGAAAGGACATCTTTAAATGCTCATGTCTTGCTCAATTTTCTAGAGAATTTTGACAATCATTTGAATTATACTTTCGTAATTAATTAAAAATTTTATTTAATTTTATTACATATTTTTAAAGTAATAGTTAGAAAAAACATATGTCAAAAATTGTTTTCTTTACAAGTCCATATCTTCATAAGCATTTTAGCCAGATTTACGAAACTTTGTGCAGTTTTTTACATACAATACACTAACTAAATTAATCGATGCAAATTGAAGTTTTATTGCTATACTTTCTGGCATAAGGAATTCAAAAACACTTATTTTTGTTCGTAATTTATTACCGGTCTCTACAAACTCCGAAAGCTTTGAACTTTATTAATAAGCATGAGGAATCATTTGATCTAAGCACTTGTAAAATTATAAAGTTTGTCGTGAAAAATACATTTAATTTTATTAAATATTTTTACAGTTGTAATTAAAAAGCGTAATACGAAGAAAAGTTTTTTTAAAATGTCCATATCTTCATGAACATTTAAGCTACGTTTACGAAACTTTATGTGGATTTTTACGAAAGTACAATAAATAAATTAATCGATACAAATTGAAAGTTTATTGTTATACTTTCTGGCATAAGGAATTAAAAAAACAATTTTTTCCGTTCGTAATTTATTACCGGTCACTCACTCCTTCAAAAATTTTGAACTTTATTGATAAGCATGAGAAAATGCTTGATTTAAGTGCTTGTAAAATTATAAAATAATTATCTAAGTATTTCTTAAAAAATGTGAAAAAATTCATAAGCTTAAAAGGTCATTTCCATTATTTTAGCGTAGCTTATTATTTAAATCAATTTAAAGCACTTTTATTTCTGAAATCAAATTATGTTCGTATGGTATGGGTTGTACTGCAATCTATAAAATCCTCTTTAAAGTTTGATATAATTATGCCTTTTCTGCGTTTCACTTAATTTAATAACTAGATTTTATTCAGTATTTTTTGAAGAAAAAAAATATTCCCTTAAAATACTGCATTCTTTTACTTTGTTTCAAAAAAAAATTCAGCTACAGCATCAAACGCAGTAATTTAATATTTTAACACTAAATTAACTATCTTACATTTTATTTCATTTCTGATAATTTAATTTCATAAAGATCGGTTATTTAACCGTTATCCTAACGGTAACTGCCATAAGTAAATCATATATAGTGAACGATATTTGAATATTCATTTTTAAGGATATTTCAAGTATATTTTCTTTCTTTTTAGTAAAAATATAAAATTTAAAGCATGATTTAGCATATCGAATTTGCACATTTTAATAACGATTTACTCAGAATGTTTCAGAAGTTGTGTATTTTAAATTCATATTCAAATCTATGATTTCCGGTACTTAGTTTTATTTCGATATTTCTTAGAGATTGCTTGAAGTTTTTGTAAAATTATACCAGATATTTGGCAAACAAAAAAGACAAATTCATTTGAATTAATAATGTTGACGCAAAACAGGGAAACCAATTATTTTTTTCAAAATTTTTAGTAAAGACTATTAATTCTTCTGAGTTTTTTAAAAATGAAGTAAAAAATATTATCATTATGGATCGATGAATCACAAATTTGCATTTAATTGGAGGAAAAATAAGATAAACTTAGATAGACTTTGAGGTTGGGCAGTTCCGAGGAACAAGGCACATCGACCAGGTGTCTATTGTGCCCACACTCTAGATTATGACTTGCGGAGCAGCTTTATATTCACATTATGGATCGATGGATCACACATTTGCATTTAATTGGAGGAAAAATAAGATAAACTTAGATAGACTTTGAGGTTGGGCAGTTCCGAGGAGCAAGGCACATCAACCAGATGCTTATTGTACCCACCCTCCAGATAATGACTTGCGGAGCATCGTTACATCTGGAAAAAAAATGCAGCTAACACCTGACAGGAATATCCAGTAATTCCCAGGCCTTAATGCAATGTTGACCTAGATGCTCAAATCTTTGAGCAGAATAGACCTCACAAACACAAAGTATATGTCGGGAAGTCTCCTTAAGATGACATCATCGACGAAGAGGATCAGATGTAAATATAGCCCATAAGTCATACCATAACACATATAATAAGAGACACCCATAATGTATAGGTGTCTACTGCGGGTGCAGTATCCAGTGAGAAAACCAATGATCCTTCTCAAGCTGTTCCTGTTAAGCTTAAGTAGCTCTTTTTGACGCACACCAGGGCAGTCAACTTATTTAATTCTTTATTTTCTTCTTTATCTTGTCTCCGACCATCCGAGTTGCACTGTTGCTCATTGGAAATCTTGCCACAGATCTTGAAAATAGATGCCCTGAAAGATGTGGGAGACATTATGAACAAAGTTTTTTTCTCAACCAAATGGAAATATTTCTCTTACAATAAGGCTACAGCTCCATTAACTCATTGAGATTTACACAGCCATGGTTTGCCGAAATGGGTGTGAAAAGACCGACATTAACATAAATTATATCATTATAATATGATAACAAGAATGTAGTAACCTGAATATACGTCTAGGCTCAATGACATATAATACTTAAAAACTTACGTACAAACAAATAATAGTAATGAAAATAGTAATTCCAACAAAAAAGAGCCTAATTTTGGTTATAAAAACCAAAATATGCTGAATGTAAACAATTCAGTTGATACTTTTCCGTTCATATGGTAAAGGCTTACCAGAAAATCTCATGTTTTTTAATTTGAGTTATTACCATATATTTAGTAAACAATGCTATATTGGAAAGTAAAGTTTAACGAATAAATGGTTTTTCGTTATTCATCATTGTAAAATTTCCACAATTATAAAATTTTTATAGTTTAAAATAAAATAATCCTCTTTAAAAAATTACAAATAGTTTGGTCTTGACATCGGATGTATAAATTAAGAACTAAACAAGATTCTTGTTATAAGAAATAAGTTTGTTTGAATCTTTTTTTATAATTCGTTCTGCTCCCGGAAATATCACGGATGCGAGAAGCATCACAATCAAAATTTCACCGCGTCATTTGTCAGGAGTGATTAGAAAGTACAAGAATTACTTAGAAAATTGCTAGAAACTTTTCAAATTATCAAGATATTCAAACCGGACGTTTTTCATAAGTTATCAAGTAAGATTCACAACAAAAATATATGAAGTTTTTTTTAATATTTTTCAGTGCATGAGCAGTGAAAGGACAACTTTAAATGCTCATGTCCTGCTCAGTTTTTTTAGTACGAAACTTTATGCAGTTTTTTACATACAATACAATAACTAAATTAATCGATACAAATTGAAAGTTTATTGCTATACTTTCTGGCATAAGGGATTAAAAATCACTTTTTTCCGTTCGTAATTTATGACCGGTCGCTCCAAACTCCGAAAGCTTTGAACTTTATTGATAAGCATGAGGAATCGTTCGATCTAAGCGCTTGTAAAATTATAAAATAATTATCTAAGTATTTCTTAAGAAATGTGAAAAAATTCATAAGCTTAAAAGGTCTTTTCCATTATTTTAGCGTAGCTTATTATTTAAATCAATTTCAAGCACTTTTATTTCTGAAATCAAATTATGTTCTTATGGTATGGGTTATACTGCAATCAATAAAATCCTCTTAAAAGTGTGATATAATTACGCCTTTTCTACGTTTAACTTAAAAACTAGATTTTATTCAGTATTTTTGAAGAAAAAAAAATTCCTTTAAAATACTGTATTCTTTTACTTTATTTCGAAAAAGAATTCAGCTACAGCATAAAACACAGTAATTTTATATTTTAAAATTAAATTAACTGCCTTACTTTTTATTTCATTTCCGATAATTTAATTTTATAAAGATCGGTTATTTAACAGTCATCCTAACGGTAAACTCTTATAAATAAATCATATATAGTGAACGATAATTAAAAATTCATTTTAAGGCTATTTTTCAAGTATCTTTTCCTTCTTTTTAGTAAAAATATAAAATTTTAAGCATGATTTAGCATATCGAATTTGCACATTTTAATAACGATTTACTCAGAATGTTTCAAAAGTTGTGTATTTTAAATTCATATTCAAATCTATGATTTCCTTTACTTAGTTTTATTTCAATATTTCTTAGAGATTTCTTGAAGTTTTTGTAAAGTTAAACCAGATATTTGGCAAACAAAAAAGACAAATTCATTTGAATTAATAATGTTGACTCAAAACAGGGAAACCAATTACCTTTTTCAAAACTTTTAGTAAAGACTATTTTTAATTCTTGTGAGTCTTTCAAAAAATGAAGTAAAAAATATTCAAATTATGGATCGATGAATCACAAATTTGCATTTAATTGGGGGAAAAAAGGATAAACTTAGATAGACTTTATGGTTGGGCAGTTCCAAGAAGCAAGGCACATCTACCATAGATCTATTTTACCCGCACTCTTGATTGTGATTTGGGGAACAGCTTTATTTTTGAAAACAATTCAGCTATCACCTGACTGGAATATCCTGTAATTCCTAGGCCTTAATGCAATGTCGACAAAGATGCTCAAATCTTTGAGCATAATAGACCTCACAATCGCAAAGTATATGCCGCGAAGTCTCCTCTTTAAGATGACATCCTCGACAAAGAGGCACACATGCTATACCCATAATGTATAGGTGTCTCCTGATGGTGCAGTGTCCAGTGAGAAGACCAATGATCTTCCTCAAGCTGTTCCTGCTAGGCTTAAGAAGCTCTTTTTGACGCACACCAGGGCAGTCAATATTTAATTCGTTAGCTTGTCTCTTACCATACGAGTTGCACTATTGCCCATTAGAAATCTTGCCACTGATCTTGAAAATAGATGCCCTGGATGATGTGGGAGACATAATGAACAAAGTTGATTTCCCAACCAAATGGAAATATTTTTCTTCCAATAAGGCTACTGTTCCAATTACTCATTGAGATTTACACTGCCTTGGTTTGCCGAAATGGGAGTGCAAAGACTGAATTGGTCTTCACAGCACTTTGATCAAAATTCTGTAGAACACATTTGATACGATTTAGAAAACAGAATGCGTATAGTCAGAAAAACCCAACTTACTCACTGCCTGCACTCATTTCAGCTATAAAGGTCTCCCGGAAGGGCGTCCTAGGGCCACCATCTATCAAAAACTGATGAAAAGTCTTTCCAGATGTGTCCATGCTATTATCAATAGAAAAATGGACCAATATAATATTATATGTGCATCAGGACTCTGCAAGTCCATGGGGTACCAGGATACTTTTGGTCTGATGGTGCATGATTAACCAGCTCTTCTTTTTAAGTTCAGTTTACACGTAAAAACTTCAGTTGTATTAATTCAATTACTTGAGCACAATATTTTGCTTTATCTTCACGTTAACAGGTTTTCTTCTTTTGTGGTCTCTGTAAATTTAAACAGGTTGAAAAAGTGAGGAAAAATCTAAGTACCAAAAACGTATTCATAACATATTCAATAATTTTTTTTAATGTTTTTACATAGTTACATATCAAATAATAGTGAAAAATAATAATATCTGGGATTTTGACTGTTTCTTCTTTAAAAGTTTTCGTTTGAATATTTTTTTTTTACTCATACAATTTTTCACCTTCAAAGTTTTAATTAATATCAGACGCAACTTTATTTAAAATGTCTTTAATGTTACTTAAAATACTTTTTGTATTTTTTTGTATTAAGGCATTCCTTTCTTATTTTAAATCATTTCCGAAGATTATTTAATTAAAATATAATGTTTTAACTTAATGAAATTCTGCAGATCTGTCAACTATGTTGTAATAAACTCGTGTAGGAAAAGAAATAATATTTGACGATTCCAGTACGGCGAGACAATTTAAATTTTAATTTTATCCCGGTATTTTTATGATGATGGATAAAACTGATTTAATTTATTAACGTTTATTACTAATATATTTTCGGAAAAGATTTATGCTTTCAAAATAATCTTTGGCTCCCAGATTAATTAATTCCATACGCCATGAATGAGATAAAGCTGTCGAATAGCTATGACTTATATTTGTTGATACAACTGCAAAATCTCAGAATTAAAATTTTTAATTTTTAAACTTTCAGAAAAATGGAAAATTTTCATTTTTTATGTCTTTTTTTTACAGGTTGTTGATCTTCTTAATGACTTATACACATGTTTTGATTCCATTATTGAAAATTTCGATGTCTATAAAGTAAGTATATATATTCTCAATAAAATAGGTTATTTAATCTTTTACAGTTTTAGTTGAATTTAATTTTCCTATTACATAAATACTTTAATCTCAAAAAAATAATGTAAAGAGTAAAATAATGCTTACCTATTTTCCTTTTTTATCAATCAAAATGTATTCATCAAAATAAATTTAATTTACAGAATAACATATACATAAAATTTTAGAAGTAAAAAATATTTTCCCTCATTTTTCCAGTTTCATATAAAATTTGCATGTATTATGTTAACATTTGTAGTAGGAGCAAATCTAACGTTTATGTAAACTCTCAAGCTTATTTAACATTACATGTCTTTAAAAACAATTGCTTATATAACCATGAATTAAAATTCTTATTATATTTGAGGCCTGTTAATTAGATTCTAGATTAACTTTTACTGTATGGTTAAGTAAGAATAAACTCAAAATTCTTATTAAACCATTCTTTATCATTGCTTTATTAAGAAATAAAATTTATCTTAAAGTGCTCAAATACTCCTAAAATATTTATTAAATTTTATGATTATGATATGGTTTTAAATTACTCTCCGCATATCTTTAAAGTTTTTAAGATCTTTAAATTAACTTTTGAAAAATGTATTTAACGTATCACTTGTTTTCTTATTTTATTTTGTTAAGAACGAAAATTTGGAGAAAAAAAATGAGCTCATGTAAAAGCTTTTTCAGCTACAATATTGATATGATATTTTAAATTAGTATGACTGTATCCTTGTTAATAAAATCTAAGGACATTATAAAAAACAAAGTAGATGTGAGATAGAAAGTAAAAATGTATTTCAGAAACACTGCGCTTATTAATCTTATATTTATGACACTAGCTATAAACGTTTATTAAGCTCATTTATTTTTATACTTTATACATATACTAACAGCTTTACCCGGCTCTGCCAGGGAAAAAAATCACGTATTGATTAAGTGATCAATGGGATCAATATGTAATTCTAATAAATAAGTACTTGTGATATTACTATTTAATTTGCTTTTTGGATTAAAAATGATTACATAACTCTTTTAGCTACACTTTAAATCTTTTCGCTGATTCGACTCTTTAACTGACAAAAATTGAAAAAAAAATTTTACAATGTAAATACTTCATTATAAATCTGTAAAGCAGTTATTAATGGTACAAAATTTCCAGGACAACTTATTCCAATAAAGGATTAAGTTTTACCGGACTTTTTTTAAATTTTTGCAGCGAATTCAAAGTGATTACCGTTAGTCATATATATACGTAAAGACCTTACTTTATTTATGCTAACAAAACATTGGAGACCGAAGATAATTGATTTATGAAAATGCTTGATAAATTGAAATTGAAACTCATTCTTTAAAGACCTGTAAGATTAAAAAAAATCATTATTAAATCACTGAAAAGTGAGAAACACCTACAATTTTAATTGAGACGATGTGTAGTGCTTATAAGGAAAACTCTTTCTTTAGTAAAATTTTCTATTTCTAGATTTTTGTTATGATATATTAAAATAAAGCCTTACTTCTTATTTGTTTCAAAAATTTGAAATAATAGCTATATTTAAAAACAATTTGAACTAAGATATCGTTAAATCTTGTATCATAACTAATGTGGAGAAGATGAAGAAATAAATTGTGTTTTGAAACATTAAATTTGAATGCTGATAGTAAATTAAATAGATAGCTTATTATATTAATATGATGGAAATAATTTTGAAAATATATTATGATAAAATTTGATTTTAAAACACCATGTACTATAATTTAAGCTATTTTTTGATTAGTAAAATACTAGTACATATTGAAAGTGCATAAAATTTCCGAAACCTAATCATATTTTGCAATTTAAGTAAGTAATAGTTCTTATTATAAAAAGTTCCATACAAAAGTATTTTATTTTCGCTTTGCAGTTACGTAAAAATAACAGAAGACCATGAACTTTTATTAATTCCATGCAGATATCTTAGCAAAATCTAAGACAGAAGAGCTGCAGTGGATTTCACAACAATGATAGGAGTGATGAAAATTCCATCTAGCAATTTCAAAGAATGTAACTTATTTCAATGTAGCAACATTTCCTTGATCTTAAAATAAATCTAAATATTTTATATTTAGAAGCATCTTTCTACACAATGCATACCTATAACTGTGCGAAATTTATTAAGATCTTGCGCTCACATGTAGAAATGGATATTACTACTGCCATTATGTCAACATACACCTACACTTTTTCATTAAAACTTATCCAGAAATATGAATTAGTAACGTTTAATTTAGCCGGCTCGGTATTCGAGAGGAGGATATTAAATACTGAGGGAATTTCTCATTTTGTATTATAAAAGTGGGTGGCTTTGTTGCTGAAATTAATCCATTTTAGTGAGATACAAAATGTTTATGTAAAAAGTTTAAAATAAATATTACGCAGTTAAAGTAAGCAAAAAAAAGTTATTTAAAATTAATTATAATGTGCTTTTTTATTGTGGAATTATTATAAATATTTTCATCTCTTAAAACTGTCATGATCGACTGCGAAAATTCATTGCTTGAATTGAAAGTGAATTTATTAATTATTCAAATTTTAATTATTTTTTCCTGTTTCTGCACTTTCAGTGCTTTTTACTATTTCTACATTAAGCTTGACTAGACAATTTTCTGAGTTGCTTTAACTAATTGACATTCTTTTTCATTCTTTCTTATTGACATTCATTCGTATGTGAAGTTATATTATAATCATGGTTTAATTCATTTAACCGTTTATCAACCAGTGTGTTGATAAAGTTTTCAGTTTTTTAAGAATTCCATTGTAATCAGGTTGAACCATATTAGCGATTTTGTTCTGTATTAGGGCTCAAATTACCTATTTTTGTTTAACAAATAGCTAAATTTTTTGAGAGTACAGGTAGAATTTGATAGCACACAATACTAACTCTAACAGAAATAATGCGAGTAATTATTTTCTGAAGCACAATATTTTTTAAAAAGAAATAAGAAAGTCTATTAGCAAATGGAATAAAAAAAGAGCTGAAAAATTCAAAGTCACAATTTTTTGTTTTAAATGAGAAAAGTTATAATGACTTAACTCTCAGAGATTTTCGTTAATTTGTTTTACAGTTTTGATTAATTTGTCATCTTGATTTTCACATTTGATTATTTTTTCGTAAAATATAATTTTACCATGTTGCTTTTTCTAAGTCCTTTGAGATTTAGAGCCAATATTATAGTTTTCCACTTTTCAAAACGTAAATTCCTTTAAACACTAAAATGAAAAGTAAACTTTTGACTTTTTCCCCCTTAATTAATGTTATATATTTGGGCTTTATCTATATTTAAGTAACCTAAAAAAATTGGAAGATAAAGTATGTGGAAAACAATTTCAATTTGCACTATGAATTTAGCACAATCTTTCTTATAATAATAAGAGAAATAGTCCGGATTGCTGAAAGATATTTGCAAGAAATAACCTTAATATTGCGCACATTTTAAATATATGCTATCGACCCATTGTAAGAGATGTAACACTTAGTAAACTAACTTGTATATCATAAAGCGACAGACAGGTAATTTATTACCATGGAAGCGTAACTACTCTAAGAGTTACACTGTCAGTCCCTGACCTTCTGTAATGGAAGATTCCTTTCATTTTCTATAAAAGATTGCCATTTTACAAGTTATTCAGAAAAAATTCTTAAAATAAATGCCGCAATTATTATTTATCTTAGAAATATTATTCAGTTAGACTTAGAAAGCATTTACAACTACTCAGATACTTATATAATCATATGATAATATTTTTTTCAATTTAAAAGTCATAATAAATAAAAACTGGTAATAGCATTGGCTGGGTGGCACAGTTGGTTTGTCGTCGGCCTTCTGAGCCCAAGTCTGCGGGTTCGATCCCCGACCCAGACACCGGATTTTCGGGATGCAGAAAATCCTCAGCGGACATGTCGTATGATTGTGCGGCATGTAAAAGATCCCTGGAGTGCCTTATTGGCTCTTGGCATTTCAGGGAAAATTAAATTCCTTGTGCACTTTAGCATCCAAATAACAGTCTCGGTGCTGCCATCTAGAGTGGCAGAAACTAGACGTCTAAATTAACATAGCCAGCGGTATCTCACCCATTGTGGAGGTCCTGAAAGAGTGGATACAACTTCTTGAGAACGCACTAGGTCTGCGCATGTGTGCGCACTTGTGCAGCTCATTGGAAATGAAATAAAAAATAATAATAACTGACAAAAAGCAATCGGGACAGTTCCGTGAGACGGAGTTGTTGGAGTCTCTAAATGTTTTAAAATTTTGAGACCTATAGAAATTTATTATTTAATGGTTAACGGTTGTCAATCATTTAATGGTTGATTTTTCGATTAATTCAATTCATAATTTTTTCCAGGCATCATTGTTTTATGATTCTTTTATCATTTATTTTAAACGTCTCTATTAGAAAATTAAATAGCAGTAAAAAACTCAAATCTTAGTGAATAATAAAATGCAATTCACGATTCTTACAAATTTAGGGTTTGATTGTTCCACTGAAGGTGGTTTAGCATTCTTCTTAAAATGCACTAAATTCTCAATTTCTAATGTATATTTCACAAATATTTTTATTTTGGTAAAAAAGAGAAAAAATTATTGTCGGTGTAGCGTTTGTATTGAAATGAAAAGTTTGTTTCTAAAACATTTGAATTCTGCACAAAATTGTAGATTTATTACAAAAAGAGAAGGCGGGAATATCTCCACTTTTCTATTAAACGTTTTAGTCTGTTTCCGAACGTAATTCTCAGAACAGTTAGGAACGGAAATCAAAAGCGTCATTTTGCGAAATTCACCCATTTTCATTTTTATTTTAGTGATTCTAAGCTTCTGTAAATTTTGTTTACATGGCTTTTGCTTATATCGTATTGGCATTTTCCCCATAAAGGAATTTTTTTAAGTTTTGATTTTGAGATTGATTTCCGTTCAGATGTCGAATTTATTGACTTTTTTTTTGTAAA